TTCTTTCAGCCTGCGTAAAGACAGATTGAGCACGAAAATGCCGTGTGCGTGTGTGCGCGCGCGCGTGGCAAAAGAGCAGAGGCTCGATTTGCAGTGTCTCTACCAGAATCACCACCCATCACAGGAGGGACTCCTCCTCAGTGCAAGGCGACTGGAAAAGGTGCCGGCCAAGATTCTGGTGGTGGTGCCGATGATGATGATGGAGGGGGGGGGGGAGAAGATCGCAGTTTGCGTTGTGAGCACAGAAACACAGATGCGGGGTTCTAGGTGTAGCAGCAATTACATACGCACACACGCGCATACAGGCAGAAGCAGCTGAGTCATCGTGGTCTGCACACACGGGCGCCCTTCTGGGCAGGGGGGTTGACATGAGGCGCCCGAAGAGACCAACCCAGTTACGTGACGACGAGGTTAGCATCCCCCCCGACACACACAAACAATTTCACTCGACTCTCCACCATCCGCCCGCCATATCGGCAACGAGGTGGTCTCATAGTCCACAACAGCGGCAACAGCAGCAGCAACAACCTCGGTGTGAAACAAGTAGACCCTCCGGAGTTAAATTCCTCATATCAACGAAAGGTGGCGGCTGTGATTGGTGAATGAAACAGTCTGCTCAAGTCGTCTGTTGTTGTTGTTGTTGTTGTTATTGGTTAAAATCCTGGTCAAGTGGTTGTTGGTGACAGGAGGGGTGTGGGGGTATGCCTGGGTGTGGGTCCAGCCGTGTCAGCCACTTGCACCCTCTCCCGCCTCCGGTCTTCTTGGCTATGTCTTGACACCGGGTCCATGTGAGGGAGCAGGAGAGGGTGCTGAGCAAGTCTACCGTCATAAAAGGAATTGCTCGCAGGTCACCGTGCCTGCTCTCGCCCTGGTGTGGAGCACACGATGGACATCGTCGGTCCCGACGGTCGAACTGTCCTCACCAGGTTAATTGGACAGGCTTGTAATGCGTCTCCGGCGGCGGCTGCAGCAGCAGAGGAGAGTCAGTGAATTCGCGTCCCCTTGGAATTTACACGCACAGCGCCTCATCGCTGGCCCGATTTGGGTGTGACTGCGATCCTCTGAAGCTGGATTTGTTCGTTTTAAATTTGGCTTTTCAAGAATCAACTTCGGAGCCCGCACCCCCCCCCCACACTCCTTGCACTTCAAAAAGGCTCCCCAGCGGTAGCTGAGTAATCGCCAGGGAGCGACAACCACAAGCAACCCACCAACTTGGGGCAGAATGGATGAAACAATCGACATAACAGCTCTATGCTTCTACCAATGACAGTGCTGCATCATAAGCTCACTGCTGGAGCTGCCCCGTCTGCTCTGCGTCTGTCTAGACTGCCACCAGGCGTAGATACGGCCTCCCGTTAATCAATATTGACAGCATCATTATCAGCTCACCTGCAGCGCATGTAATGGCAAGATAGTGGTAAACTGTAGAATGGTCTCGTCTTCTCTACTTCATGCCATCAGCCGGAAACCCACTGCCCTCCATCGGAGAAGGCCTAGCCAAGCAACATCCATCCGACTTCCCGTGCGTGCGCAATTCACCCAGAAGGGCCGTGAACGGCGAAAATTCGGCTAATAGCCCGCCGTTGGTGAGCTTCGACCTCGCGGGAATTCGTCTGTTCAAAATACCTTAAGTCAACTTTTCCGCTATTCAAGACACGACAGTTTGACCGTCGCCAGCGACGACACCTACCGCGTGTCCCCCCACAGGGTGAGCGCAGCACTGATGACTTGTCTATAGTGGACTTCCGACGCACCTACTGCACTCTCCCTCTTCCCGCTCCAATGGCAAGAAAGAATCAAGACGACCGGAGGTAGACGTCGGCGACCTATGAAACACTGGTGCGACCAGGTCACCCCCCCCCCCCCCC